AGCCAAGAAATACAGGAAACAGCCCAAAAGGGAACAGTGTTTGGTTTCATAGGTATGTCAGGTCTGCCATCATATCCTTTCGACAAAGCGTGTGAATGGTCTATGACATTCAAAACGATCTCTATATGCACAAGAGTATAGAATCAGCCAGTCATACAGTATCCGAGATTTGACGTCCATGGGATCTTACAGTTGAACCCAATACATCTCTGGCATTTTTAATAAGCTGGAGGGGCAGAAAAAAAGAAAAGGAAAAGACTTATCAGATTAGCATTATACGAAAATTTGAAGCACAAGTAATAAAAAAAAATTCTTCCCTAAGCTAACAGAACATCACAGTAAATAAAAAAAGTAATAGTCAATGCAATAAGATTAAAGCAATTCGTTGAAGCATAGACAGATATTTGGAATATATTTTGATATCCTATATAACAGACGATACACTAGGTGTGTATTTTGGTAGTCAGAAATTGTAGAACACAAATTCCAGCAGATGGCTAAGGGATTTGAATCTTGGGTCAAGGTAAAACCACTCAATCCACTCTTCAGGGCACAGCAGTCTAAACACTTAACAGATGCATTATTTTCTGGTACAAACCAAAGTACAATTAATCATTACACGTATGCAAAGCATACCATATTGCGAGCTTACCAAGGATGTGTTGCAACTTTGCATTATTAACTCTAACTTTTCACTAAGACTACATTCTACGAGCTCGAGGTCCCATGAGACAAAACCAATGGAAACAATACAAGAACCTTCAAAAAATTTCAACTCTTTCCCCTAATATGAGAATTGCATAAATAAGGCATTGAAATACTTAAGAAACTAAGAAAATATAAGCTGGACCAATATCCACGTTGAGCTGGATTTTAATGCAAACCAAATCCAAAGCCAAATAGTACAAGTAGAAGCCTGTGACACCAAGGTTGTCAACTCACTAAAAGGTCATAACATCCCATGATAAAGTATGGAATGCACCACTATAAAAGATTCTTAAAATTATTCCATCCAAGCTTAACTAGATCTCTAAGTTCACCACTGAATAGACTAACGTTTATGGGACTTACTCATACCACAACTTCCAATCTAAACCATGGTATGGAAAGAAGACATACTCACAAAATCTGATATACGTACAACATCAATTATATCTTTTTAAGCTGACAAAAGAAAACTTGCTTCCGCAAAGATGGAGCAAATTCAATGAACACAGAAAACGTACCAACTATTTTCAAAAGAAAAATGGTTTGCAAACAGCATTTCAACTAAAGATCGTTCCCATAGTCCAACACCAGAAATAAGACAGGGAGAAAGAAGGAATTACTCTAAGCAATCTAAAATTACCAATCCAGCAAGAATGTGATTCCATCAATTAAGCAACTATGCTTGCACCCTCAGGAAGGAAAGACACAGTAGACCCAGAAACTTTACAAACACAAACCACACATTTTTTTTTTGGAGTAGGGTGGGCATAACTATGAATATAAGACAGCACTCAGCTAAAGTAACTTATATAATTGAAACAGAAAACCACACACTGCATTTACATGAACAGATATGATTACTTAGCTAAAGTTTAGTTGAGATCATAATGCTCAGCTTAGTTAATCCCTGAAACTAAAACACGATAATTAGAGTTCCTCTGTCACTTTATAATTTTACTATCTCATGGCAAACTAAACAGCTTGAATTAGCTACTTATCCCATAAGCAATAAAATTTTCCACATACCCAACAACTCCTTTCCCACAACATCAAACAACATGTTAACAGAACGGAATATAACTTTTAGTGTAATAACATATCAAAAGCAGGAAGCAACCACTGAAGACAATCAACACAAGCATGAAAACAAACGTTAAAGTTTAAACTTCTAGTTCGCAACAAAACGACTATTATCCCCAAACAACTCAACTTTGACCGAAAAGTCAACATCTTAAAACAAAAATTAAGCGCCATAAAGACAAATACTTTATATAACTCTTTAGATCACCAATTCATAAATCACAAACAAAACTAAAAACTCAAAGTACAGAAAGCAAAAAGTTAGGGTTCTACAAGAAAATTTAGCGAATACGTCCGTATCGAACCTAAAAGGTAACAAACAGAAGCAAAAATAAACGAAATAAAAATTGACCTCCAAACATAATAATACAAACCTAAAAACTCAGAATTCACCTCCTTTTCATTTTCCTCAACATTCTCGGTAAACAAACAGCCACAAACAGAGATTAAAATCACAATCACACCACTGTTTCCGTTACTATTTCTGTTTTTCTTTCCAAACAAAACAACAAAATAGCATATTTTTCTTTTCTTTCTTAATTTTCCTCCACTTTCTCAGCAAGCAAAACACACATTACCTCTAAAACATCAAACAAAATATCAAAAAAAAAAAAAAAAAACGCTTCAACTCCGCGGCTCCATAGTAAGTTTGAAACTGGAGTGCAAAACAAAAAAAAAAATGAAAACAAAAAAACAAATTGAATCTAAAGAAGCATGAGAGGATTAGTTCAGAAAATGGAGTGACCTGTAAACTGTAAAGTGAAGCAGCTCAGAGTTTTGAAATGAATTTTGAAAATTGAGTGGCGAGTTTTTGAGTAAAGATAATACGGATTATCCAGCGAGTGAAAAACGAAAAAAAGAAAAAAGCGCGTGTTGTGTAATATTATATTTTATACTTAAAAAGAACAAAAAGAAATACGTGGACGACTGGACGTTGGACCATACCATAAAACAAAAAAATAAAGACAAAATTATTAGTGAAAAGTAATTATGTTTTTTACAAACTAAATTAATTTAGTATTTTGAACTTAATTATTTTTTCTTGAGCCTTGTGAGTTAGTTTATTTTAATTAAACTAATTTCAAATATTTATTAATTTTTTTTGGTTATATGAGAACAAATATTTGTTGGAATTCATTTAAAATTAACATTTTAGGTAAATAAAAGTTGTTAGAATTAATTTCTAAATCAGAGAAAAATACGACTGATTTGTTAAGAAATGGTAATAAAAAAACTCTAAATAATAATTTTTATTTATAAATATCACTTTTATTAGTCAACAAAATAATGGGTACTTTCAATTTGGTTGATTTAAGAGGCTAGCCTCTCTACTAATAATGGGACAAGCCGACAAGGTCTAATCATATTATTTTCTAGCCAATTATTATCATTTATTTGGAAAAATAAAATAAAATAAAATCTAAATTTGCGGTGGATATAAGAAGAGAATTTATTGGTTTATACACACATGTGGAGGAGATCAATATTTGCAAAAGCAAAATGTCCTTTTCTTTCATATATTTAAAATCCAATTAACATCATTAATCTTGAATCATAGAATTTTTTGACCTTCAAAATGCATTATCAATAACACTTTCCACTTAATTTTTTTTGTACTTTGTGGGTAACTGGGGTCAATTGTCAAGACTCAAGACTTTCTTATTCCTTGCTTGTTCTTGCAATTTTCTTCTTTATTTCTCGGGATTCAATCCCTTTGACAAAAAGGTCAGGCAGCTACTCGACACTTCTGTGGATCAGAAACAAATCTCTATCTATTTGTTCTTTAGTCAAAGTTATATGAAAATTTCCGGTTACGAGCAGTTAAATTACCGACAAAATACAAAATCAAAGCTCATGACCAATTAGACTTCTGAATACTAGTTTACACTTCAAAAAACCGGATTAACAAAATGTATAATTAAAGTTGGTGATCTGCCGCATACCCAATTTGCGTTTAAATGAAATCATGACGTGTTATGCGTAAAATCCGGAGAGGATAATTCTTTATTAGGAGAGAAGATATTTAGATTGACTCAATTTAAAAAAAAATGATATTAGTCAAAGATCATACAACTTCTTAATTCTATGTATTTGAATCTTATCTCAATTTTATCATGTAAATAGGTGTTATATAAACTCATTATAACTTATTTTTAAGGGGGATTGGGCAATTATTTTAAACAATTTTTCCTAAGAATTATACTGTTCCTTATAAACTCTCAAAAACAATAAAATACAGTGGACGTAGACTGTTAACCTGACTGAACCACTTTAAAAATCTCTTTATTTTGTACCAACAGTCGATCTTTATATATAATTATATATTTAACTTCTAAAATGATTAGGTTAGAAATTAATAAGGAAATGGAGGTTTCAAATTGTTTCTTAAAAGGAATCATTTCCTAAAGGAAAAAGATAAAAGAAATAATATGATTCAATTCTAAGAAAAATAGATGCTTTAAATTGAAATTAAAGCCACTTGTTTGTTGGTAAGCATAGGCTTGTATCATTAAAAATCAGAAAATTTTAGCGATGACAGCTCATTTGAGATCATAAAAACAAAAAAAAAAAAACAAAACAAAAGTTATTTTAGTAATATTATAATAATATAATCAAGGAAAATGTTACATTATCGAGGTAACAATAATTAAGGATTTTAATACACTATGTTATTGGGATGACGTTATAATCAGCAAGAAGGAAGCATGGAGGCCCATTGATGTCTTTTCAACATAAACATTGGGTGGCCAGAACCACGTTGCAATGTTAGGATTTCAAATATTTCAATTATTTTAGTGTATGACTTGGATTCAATTATAGAATGAATTGATGGTAAAGCTTATCTAGGGAAGTTTTATCTCAAAATATAGTCACAACTGATGAAATCTACCTGGCTAATTAGCATAGTTTGATTGGTAAGTTATTAATATATAAATAAGTCAATCAAATTGAAATAGGAAAAGGTCTATCCAAGTGTCACCGGCCTAGAGTTTAACGTAGTAGAACGGCCCGTGTGACATCCCCGACATCACACTTGAACATGATATTGCAGAATAAGGTTGTGACATAAGGGAAACCAAATAGATAGTGAAATACATGTTCTTTGATTTTTTTTTTTTTTTTTTTTTTTATGCGGATTTCTCGATTAAAGATTAATTGTACTCATGATTATAGTTACGTGTTTAAGTGTTTTAGATAATTTACTAGGGGGGTTAAATAAAATTATCAAAATTAAAATCTATTTTTACAAAGTTAAAGCCCTAAAATAGTATACAATCAACACTAAGAAATTGTGGAATCATGAGCTAATTAAGTAAAAAAATAATAACAAAAGAGATAAACAATAAGAAGCTACCCAGAGAATTAAACCCAAAGCTAAAAATAAACAATTACATGATCTATCACCTCCTTCCTGCCTCCATTGCATCTATTGTTGTTCTTGAAGGGCTTTCAACATGTAATGGCATAAACGAATTACCATTTTGATTCACAACATTCTCCCTTGACCGAATAGCGAGCCCATTTACTGGAAGAACCGTGCTTCCATTACTGTTTGACTCCTCTCGCGCCCGAAAATATGCGTAAGGTCCCCATCCTGGGCAAACAGATTAGGCAGAATTCAAAACAATTGTGTTATATATATATGGAGAAAAGCAAGAAAAATATGAGCAATTCATTGTTTAGACAGCAATCCTGAAATCTGCACTTTTGAAACAGTTGATTATGTTTTGCTACTTTAGTCATCAGAACTAAAGGTCTCATGTCCGGTTTCTACGAAGATTAATCTTACCTTCATCATGATATGGAGGTGGGAAGAATTGTAGATAGCAAATGCTCGCCACAACCAGCCCTGCAAAAAGTATAAACTCCTATTTATCAGTGTTACTTTGATTGAAATATTTTGTCTTTTAACGTTATCAGATAATAATAAAACATCTTCAAAAGAGTGAGCTTGGTACTAAAACAGACCTATAATGCCACCAGCAAACACATCTTGCCAATGGTGCCAATAGTCACTCACTCGAGAAACAGCAACCAGAGCTGCGAGGAGGAGAGGAAGAAGAACAAGGCAAAGCTTTGCCACATGCCCTCTTTGATCAAATGCCTTGATTTTTCCTGACAAGTACACTGAGAGGAAACCTAATCCTGCAAAGGACCCTGTATAGCAAAATCCAGATTTTGTTTCAACTATGAATTTCACAGCATTTTCAAAGCAAAATGTTGCATTAAACTAGTGCCAAAACTTGCTTACATGAAGTATGCCCACTTGGAAAACTCTTGTGTCCCTCTTTTATTTCACTTTCTTTGCCATGACATAGCACATCTCCAAACCGTCCACCAAAATTCTGGAAAAAAGAGTAAATAAAACTTAGCATAACTCAAGAATCACAAAGTACATAACAGAGAATAGTCCGTCTTTCCTACAGACCTCGTTAATTGGTCAATGGTAGCTAATGGTTAGCTACGTACCATCATCTAACTCTAAAAGGTATCTCTTGTAGACCTCATTGGTTGATCGATGTAGCTATCGGTTAGTTACCATCAACTAATATTAGAAAAACAAAAATCTAGATTGAACTTTCTGAATTGAAGACTCTGAAATTTGGTATTTTATTGTTAGCTATCATAGGTAACCGAGGTCCTAGGAAAAATAATGCTTATGTGCATCCGATGCACGTACAACCATCCAATAAAAATGAGTCACGTTATCATGTATGTATGACATCCATTCTCTCATTGGATAGTTATACGTGCGTTGGATACAAGGAAGAATTGTTCCTGCAGGGAGAAAGTCTGAGGCAATTTTTTTACCTCAATTCCATCAGGAAAGCAGCGCCAAAAGAAATTGGGGCGAGGGCGGCCGGTTGCAACTTTAATTGCATCAGTAATAACCCCAGTAATCAGCACAGCATAAAGAAGGCCTGCACAAGATAAAAAATTTCATGAGTCAAAAGGAATTGACACATTTCAACAAATAAAATGACTGCAAAATTTGCTTGAAATTATCACCTAAAATGCCGTGGTGCAGATCATACACACATCTCCTACGAGAATAAATTATCAGGAAAATAAGTATTGGCATCAAAACTGCATAAATCTGTCCATCAAAATCCCCAAACAAAAGAAAAATGGATGTCAACACTTTACATTATTCATGAAAATTTCTGGGAAATTCAAAAGAAAATTTAACTTACAGGCACAGCCCAAACGGGCACTGTGTTATCTTTCATCGGATATTTGAAATCCGCCATCATGTCCTTCCCCACAAACCGGTAAAATGGATGAATAAGATTCAGAATGATATCGGTAACGCCCAGAACAACCAATATGATCCAATCATGCATATGGGTTTTCGCCACTCTGGATCCATGACTTCTTATTGTATGTGAACCAAGATCAATCTCTCTCATTCCTCCTCCTCCTCCCTTCATCACAACACATCAAATTCAAGAAAATCAGACAAAGATTCTCAGTTTGAAAATAGATTATCACTAAAATATGACTATTAAAATAAGAACTAACCAGAAAGAAGCTTCGAAAATTTGGTAACCAAGCCATGGATGAGAATTGAAAGCCAGCCGTTCACAGCAACAACCGTCCAAAATTCTCTGAAAAACAAAATAAACCGAAAAATAAAAACGGGATAAATAGGATGTAACGTTGAAACAAGAAACAAAAAAAGGATAATCTAAAATTAATTAATAAAAATAGTTTTCACGAACCACGTTACAGTTTTGAATATTAAATACGATATGAACACAGACTGATAGCAATGAAAATAGTATTTTATTATTAAAAATAAAATAATTAAAAAAAGAAAAACGAACCAGGGTTTGGTGTGAAACCGAAAAAGGGAAGCACAGGAGAAGAAGGAAAGAACATAAACGGAACTCAGAGATGACTCAGTCAGTGACTCGGTGAGTTGCATGCACGAGTAAAATATTTTATTTGTTTATTGTTTGAAACTGAGAGAAATGGCGCCGGTTATCGGGTTTTGAACTTTTGATTAGGGGGTTGAAATGGTCAAACTAATGCGTTGACTGGGGTGGGTGGGGGATTGGTTAATCTTCACCGTCTGATTGTTTGACTTTTGTCACGCCAAATTTGACGATTTAAAACTACCCTTCGGATACTCCAAGTTGGAACTTCCACTTCCTCCAGAAACTGAATACAAGTAAAAACGACGTGCCGTTTCACTTTTAGTAAAGATAGACTTGTTGACAGACTTGATGTTTCACTTGGGATCTTTTTCTTCTTAGTAGATTCTGTACGTTTGATTCTAAAAATTGTGAATCTAAGTGATGATCAAAGGGTTAATATTGAAGAGAGAATTACAGCTTGAAAGAGCAAGTCAGTTGCAAAGAAATTTCTAAGATTATATTACTACATGTCGGATGATCCATTTTGTTTTTTCGTTTTTCGTTTTCTATTTGTTTTTTTATGCGTATAATATACGATCTTAATAAACTATTTATCGTACAAGACTCCAGGTATTACTATTTAAAATATACACTTTGTATTTATTTACATGTTTGGGCTGTAATACGTTAATTAATAAGGATATTATAATACATAATCTGTTTATAAGAATCGGATGCCTTCAAATTGTAGTATTTTTGTAATATGTTAAAATAAATAAAACAAAACTTTTAATATTGTAACATCTGCTCCCTACTACTATCTTATAATATATACTATGCAAATTATAAATATACATAGCGTATAGAAGATAGTGGGCTCAAACTTTTCTTTACTCATAAATTATAATTCTTTACATAAACAAAATACTATGTATTAAAAACTTTCTACTTAATACAAAATATCATAACTAGTGGACAGTAGTGTCAATACTCTCCGCTCCTCGACGTCTATCCGACCACTACTCCTATTTCCTGCAAAACAGGGAAGAATAATGGGGTGAGCATAACAATGCTCAGTAAGTAAATCCTCTACTACATGTCCCCGCAACTCACTCTTTGGTTCTTTCCTTACTCTACCGTTCTTCTATTTCTAATTCTCACTGTTTTTCTCTTTCTTTCTAATACTTTTATTCTCCTTTCACTCTGTTCTGCTCTTTTTATTCTTTATTTCTCTCTGTTCTTATTCTCTTTTCTCCTTCTCTTATTCTTACTCACCATAAAGGAAAATCATGGTTCTCTCTTAGTCTCATCATACTCACCATGAAGGAAAATCATGGTTCTCTCTTATTCTCATCATACTCTCACTAACCATGGAAGAAATCATGGTGCATGCATGTATGAGATATACATGCAATTAATGCAAAAGAACTGCATGTTTCTTTCTTCTACTCTCTATTCTTACTAGCTCAAACTCTCTCATTCTTTCTCATACTCTCTCTTTCTATCTCATTCTTTCTCAAGCTTTCTCATTCTTTAATTATCTATATTATCTCCTTCTCATTTCTCATAATTCTTTTCTACTAACTCTCTCTTTGAATTATGTCACGGCCCCATCTTACCGAAGGCACGATCGGGACTTCTCCCGCTCTACGTGACTTCTACTGATTCTCTTTCTGTCTCTCTTTCTCATAACTCTTCTCTGTTAACTTTCTGTTATAGGTTACGGCCTCATCTTACCGGAGGCACGGCTAGGTACTCATCTCACTCTTCGTGACCTTACTCATTGTCTCTCTTTATTCTTTCTTATGTTTGCTCATTCTTCCTCATTTGCATGTCACGACCTCATCTTACCGGAGACACAGCCGGGTGGAGATCACGAAGCACCAACCCACTCTTCGTGACTTCTACTTATTCTCTGCCGATCGGACTCGGTCATGCATGGATTCGAAACCCTTGGCCAAGTGAGTGTATTCTCTCTCTCTCTGAATGTCACGGCCCCATCTTACCGGAGACACGGCTGGAACCTCATGTTCCACTCTTCGTGACGGTCACGGCCCCATCTAACCAGAGGCACGGCTAGGGATCACAAAGCACCCACTCTCGTGACTTTACTCATCACTCACGGGTTCCCCATCGTACAACCTACTCTATTCTCTTCTTTTACTCTTAGAGTAGTTTATTCACAAAGATCTCTACTCTTGCTCAAGCTAATACTCATCTCTTTCTCAAACTAGTACTCATAGTATAGCTTAACTCTTAGAGTAGTCTATTTACAAAGTTCTCTACTCTTTCTTAATCTATTACTCATAGTGTAACTTATACTCAAAATTCTCTACTCTTTCCCAAGCTACTTCTTAAATGCACAATTAATGCATATGGATGGCTCATGCTCATTAATGCACTCATGAAATGCCAACATGCAATGTTGCAAGAATTAAGGTTCTCTACTCATACTCATGCTTCTCTTAGGCATTTCATCAAACAACTCATGTGTATACAAAAACTCTACTTTATTGAGAACTCTATTTCTCTCTTAGGCCATCCCAAAATGGGAGGAAATTCTCTTGCATGATCTCATTCCCTGTCAAGGAAACATACTCCCAAAAATCTACTCCAACTTCTTCCAATCTCAATCAAACTCAACTCATCATCATGCAAGTAGAACACTTCTCATAACTCAAATATATTCACAATCAACATAAATAGCTACTCATATCATCTCAATCTCTCCACAAGCATAATATAAACACGCATAAAGAAATCTCTACTCAATAGATTCCTTAAATATCAACTTGAGTTGGATTTACTTACCTCATACTTGAGTAGTCTTCACTAAAACTCTCTACTCTTGTTGGACCTTAGCTTTCCCTTATTTCCTAAGCATAAACTTAGTAAGAACTTAACCCTTACATAAATAAAACTCATATCTAAAGTAACGATTCTTACCTCTTCTTTCTTAGGATCAATTCTTTGTCAAATTCTAACTCAAAACTCTCAAAAATCCCTTGGAAAATTGAGTGAGGAATTGAGAGAAAATGAAGGATGAAGAGGCGGTGGAAATGGGTGAAATGGAGGGGTTTAGAGAACTAAACTCTTATTAGCTCATATAATATATACTCTTTCCCATTTTGCCCTTACTCTTTCTTGAAATTCCACCTTTATCCTTTAATTCTTTACAAACTCACGCCTATTTTACACTATTCTCCATGAAATTTCCTTGCATTTTACTCCCCACTTTCCGTCGCCCCGGTGAAGAATTACAGAACCAACACCGCCAACACAAAGCTAACGTCGCCGCGGCGAAGCTTCTTCCTCGCTCCGGCGAAGGCTGCAACTCCAAAATCCGTCAAGTCTTGATCAATTAAAGGGTAAACACTCAACCAAACCCAAAACATAAACTCAACCAAGGGCCAACCAAACAATATGAATAATATACAAACTCATTTTAGAGCAATTCAATAAACTTTTAGGCCATACCATAAATAATGGCTACGTATCTCAACTGAGGCGTTACAAATATAAATTTTACTGAATTCATAACTTGCTAGTAGCTGATGGAAACACACTTATCCATGATTTTTATTTATTTAAATGTATATTTAATTGATACTTTTGAATGTATTATAGTTCTAAGTTTGAGTTAATAGGGTAATTACTAGATTTTAGTTTGAGGATTTCGAAAAATTAGTTAAAGTATTTATAAATTTCGTATTATTTAAAAAAAAGAAAAAACGGTGGCGTGTGATAATTGTTTAAGGGGAAACATCGTTATTGAACAGGCTGACCATGGGTGGACCAGAAGCGAACCACGCGTAATTCAGATCTGCTACCTTTGCTTGCTGGAACCGCACAAAGCCTTGTTATTAACAGGGAAAATTCCAACAATACTAAAAGCCAACCCTCATATGCTGACAATTACATCAATTTGATATTTGATTTGGTGAACACATTCACAGAATCATTTTCCCTCTTCCTTTGCGTGTTAGATTTTCATTTGTAAATTCTAATTATGCAAATCCAAGACAACCCAACATGTTAATTTGCCATTAAGGTTAAACAAACAAAGTTTAATTGAGTATCTTTTAAGTACACAAATCGAGTCTAGATGAAGTGGAGATTGAATTGAATCATTAAGAAAGTGTTAATTATAATCATAAATTAATGTATTTATTAATTTTTTTATTTACCCATTTTGTTGGGATTTTACTGTCATTCGAATTCCACTTAAAAGGTTAGTAATTAAAAGCAAAAAGTGAAAAAAATAGGATTGAAATGAAAACTATTTGCATCAAAGTGGAACTGTTGCATTTGATCATTAAGAATTGAAAGTGGAGCAAGTAATATTCAGCATTAATGGTGGTGGGGTAAGTTAATTTAGTTGATGCAAATCGAAGAGTTAGTACAAGAAACAGTTTAATTTATAATTGGATTCCTTAAGTTGTGTTTATGATGTCCCATTTCTTGTTCCTTAGCTTTCAGTACAGCAGATTGGTAGGCCCTTAACAAATCAGTTCATTCGGTTCCGTTTTGAGTCATCTGGGGACCATTTCAGTTTGTTTACCAAATATTAACCGAAAAAATAGGCACCCAACAAACCCTCATCGGAAATGGTTGGTATGCCTAAAACCCAAAACCTAAAACCCTAAATCTAAGAATTTGAAAGTTGAAACATGTTGATGTTTAATTTTGACACCAACGACTCGCACGTGCAAAGTGTTAAGAGAGTCCTAAAAATTACACGTGATGGATTCATGAAATTTGAATCTGGAGTTGAGATTATATATGTTTGCATAAACATAAATAAATGATTGACAAGAGAGGTTTTTATAGTGGTTCAGATGCAGTGGCGGAGCCAGGATTTTTGCCCGAGAGGGCCTCCACGGCTCCGCTATTATTTGCCAAACAACTAGTGAAAACTTTTAAAAAACCACCAAACCTTAAGTAAAAGAGTTTACAACAACCACAACCCACAAAAAATATTCCACACAAATTTAGGGGTCAATCACAACTCTAACACAAGTAAAATACATAAAAGTTTACAAAGAGATAGATTAAAATCACCAGAGAAGCAATCAAACTTCATATTGTATAACTCCAAATCCAGACGTTAATATCAAAACTCAACCGTCTAGATTAAAGACCCACACATCCTCTGCGTATTGACCAAAAAATCAAGTTAGAATGGTATACCTAAAGATTTAAATATATGAATATTGATTGTTTAAATATGAAAGTAAGTTAGAATGGTATACCTGAAGATCTTCAATTTAACACGATTTTCCACTTTGATATATTCTGAAAGTGTTCAATGATATCTTTATTTTCACTTGTAGCAAAAACTTCCTTTTTCAATGTAAACCACCAAGCAATTGTTCATCCAGTCGTCTCCCATTCGATTACGTAAACTATTTTTCACAAGATTCATTGCAGAGAATACCCTTTCAACTGTTGCAGTAGCCACAGGCAAAACCAATGCTAATTTAATAAGCAAGAAAACTTTGTTGTAAGCAACATCTTTCTTAAACTCAACCATTTTTTTAGCAAGGTCGGCAATCCCTTCGAGATGAGTGAAATTGGCGTTGGTGCTAACATCCTCATAATAGTTTTCAAGTTGATCATCGAGCAACCAAATATCGTGTTGAGGAAAATCGGCAGGATAGAACTTTGCAAATTCAAGTAATCTATCTTTGTTAAATGCAACAAAAGAATTACTTGGATCAAGAGATGACATACATTGAAACAACCTCATATTTACTTCATCAAAACGATTATTGAGTCCTTCTTGAATGTTATCCAAAACTGTATACATCAATTCTACCTTAAAATGATGTTTATTTATAATTGGGGAATCCCCCGTTTTGTCCTCCCAAAGTTATCTTCCATATTCTCCAAGATTGGTATGTCATTATCTTTGCACATATCAGAAGCTTCTTTTAACAATATGTCGAAGCAAGTGTCTTCATTTCTCATTTTATGCAATCGACGCTTCGAAATTTGTACAAATTGTATGGCATTAAGAAGATCTTGATCTTTTCTTTATAATGCTTGTGATAGTTCATTTGTGATTCCGAATACTCTTTTCATTAAGAATAACAAAAAGACGAATTCAAAATTCTCCATGATTCGTAATAAACTCCTTGCTTGACTTTTGTTTTGCCAATCGTCTCCTTTAATCTCAATCACCCTAAGCACATCAACAACAGAAGAAAATAAATTTATGACACTATGAATTGTCCCTATATGTGAACTCCAACATGTATCTCCTGGTCGTTTAATAGTGCATTCTTGATTCAAACCTCATCCCATATGAAGATCAACATTAGAAATCAAAGATATCACATTTTCATATTGTTTATCATGTAGAAGATCTCTGCGCTTACAAGATGCCGCTATAGTGTTTGATAACATAGAAAGAGATTGAAAAAATTCACCCAATGTCGAATGGTTACTTACAACTTTGACCAGCGCCAGTTGGAGTTGATGAGAGAAATAATGAATGTAGAAAGCTGGTTTATTTTCTCTCAATATCAAAATCTTCAAACCATTGAACTCACCTCTCATATTGCTTACTCCATCGTAACCTTGCCCCCGTAAACTTGTCAAACTCAATCCATGCTTTACAAAAAAATGATCTATTGCAATTTTCAAAGACTTTACAGAAGTATTCTTAACATGCACAACCCCGATAAAACGTTCAATAACACAACCTATTTTGTCCACATAGCGAAAAACAATAGCCATTTGTTCTTTCACTGCCACATCACGAGATTCATCAACTAGTAAAGAGAATGGTTGTTTAACTCTCACAATTTCTGCAATAATTTTCTTAGTAGTCAAATGAGCACAAACACTAGTTAATTCCCTTTGGATGTTGGGGGCCATAATTTGATGGTTTTTCGGAGCATTTTCTAGTACAACTTTTTTTATGTCGTCATTATAATTGGATAGAAGCTTCAATAGTTCTATAAAGTTACCTTGATTTTCAGATTCAACCGACTCATCATGACCACAAAATGTCAATCCTTGATGTAAAAGAAATCTAATGCAATCAATTGATGCATTCAAGCGAATGCGATAGTCCAATTTGGCCTTTTTTGACACGCAAACAAGATTTACATCAATGTGTTGCCTTTGGTTTATCAAATCAACACACTTGGCATGACATTGGCTATGAGTACTAAAATGATCTCTAACATGTTTTTTTCACTTTCGCTTTATCTTTCCAATTATTAAATCTCTTACTCACAAAAACTTCACCACCTGCTTGGTCACCATAATCAGTTTTGAAAAGATAACAATTTAAATAAAAGATGCAATCTTTTGCCACACTATATTCCATCCAACTTGGACCTTCTTTGTACCACTCTGGTATAAACCTATGATTTTTATCTTCGAAAAGAGTGAAAGGAAAGTTTTGATCTTTAGGTTGGCAAGGACCTTTCAACAAGTATGTTCTTCGAACTTCCTATTTTTGCTTGTCAGTACAACAAATCTCGTTAATTGGTATCTTCAATCCTGGATCAGTTTCAAGCTCATCTAAATTGAACATCTCGACCGAAGGTTGAGCTTCTTTTACTTGGTGTTGTTGTTGCTGATGTGGGACTTCTTTTTCTAATGGGATTTGATTAACCTCAATATTAATAAAGTCTCCATCAACAATTTCTGCTGGAATTTTCTTTAATTTCTTTAAATAATTGGATGTCATAGCTATCAAATAAAAAAAAAAAAAGATAATATAATACATGTAAAGAAAGACCAATGAAACTTTAATTAATAAAATTACAAAGACTGACTTATCACGTTTTTAGATGTAACAATTAATCTAATTAAAATATTATTTTAAAAATTAATTAATCATTTTATTGTGTTCATTTTCTTATATTTAAAATCATTTTAGTGAAATTTAAAAACTTATATAATTTGTTAATCAATTTTTTGACTTATTTAAATTATACGCATAGATCAACTAGATTTAATTTAATTACTATTAGAGCATACTTAGTCAACTAATCACATTATAAAATAATAAAAATATTATTATTAATATATTAATGATTGGTGTAAATCAAGCTGTCCTCTAATTATATAAAATATTAATTTTATAAATGTATTTTTGATATCTAAAGTCACAAATTAATAATAAAGTTTTCAACCAATTACAAAATCAAACAAACACAAAATAAACTCACAAGATTTATACTTTTTCTCATCAGAATAAAAAACCTCCATAAAAACAAATATGATTTAACCCTAAAATAAACTAAATTAAAATAAGTAATATACATACCTAAAACTGATAAAGCATAAAATAGTCTTCAAAAGTTGTAACTTCAACTGAGCCAGTAAGACAAAGAGAAAGAGAGGCGCACTCACTAAATAAAATTAGGGATACAAAAATTGTGATTTTATAGAGATTGGCCGCATATGGCAACTAGTGGGCCTCACAATATTTATGACGGATGAGCTGCTGCATTAACATATTATAGCATTTAGTTTGATTGTGGATCATATGTATTGTACCTTTTTGATATAAAAATCATTAATTATAAATATTTGCAATTTTTTTTCAAAATCTGAGGCCTACCCTCAAGGATGTTGGATCCACCCCTGTTCGGATGCTTAAAGCAAATTCTGTATTCACTGTTATTTTATTATTCTCTGAATATTTCTATGATATTGCCTATAAGACATACAAAGATGAAGAAATACTTTACTTAAAGAGAGAAATAATGAAGCTCAAATATTTGTCTAGCTCTCATCTGGCCAGCCTCTCTTTTTCGTGAAGATAGGTGCCAATTTATACACCTTTGAGATCAATATAATAAGTGTTTTTGCAAGTTGCCTTGACACATAGAGAGCTCTCATCCGACCTTATCTTAAAATGAGATAGGGTTGGTATAAAATATCTCTGAAGCGGTATGAGCTTGCTTGACAGTTAGTATATTTTATCTTTTAGGCACTTATTAAGCTGACATCAGTGTGACTTTTTAGGCACAACAAAACACTCCAGGCTTTTTCACGTGGGGGCTCTTTCAGATTTGTCACTGTCACACTTTAACTAAGAAGGGCTTAATGAAAATCTCTTTTCTCCAGCATCACTTGTCTTGTAGAGTCTCTATTCAGGAAAGGAGAATCTAATACGTCATTTTGGTGTAAAAACACCAAAATGACGCAAATTTGAAGTCCAACCCACCGCTATTTTCTGCGCCAAATGGATGTGGAGCTACAGTGCCACGCCAAATTTGGTGCAGCACTGTAGCTCCACACCAAATTAGGGTGGCACTGTAGCACCATTAATTTTTTTTTTTTTAATTTTGTTAAGTTAATTTGATTATTAAATGTTACACCAAATTTGATTGTTATTTATATTAATATTTATATAATAAATTCATAATAATGATATAATTCAAAAAATGATGAAAAATTAAAAATAAAACTTTATTCAATACAAATACTAAACTACAATAACTCAAAATAAAAATTAACACAAATTTAAAAACACTAAAATTAAAAGAACAGATGGAAGCGTCAACTCCCGAAGTTGAAATTGTCGTAGATGAAAATATTCGATTTCAAAATTTTCTTGCTCGACATAGACAAATCAACAATACATAGGCTCACCATGTTTTTGAAATGCATTAATTGATCATTTGTGGGAAGAATATACTAATTTAGAAAATTAAATTACTATCAATATGGAATTTTACTTTTGTGTTGTTGTTGTCTTTTTTTTTTTTATCATTTTATATTAGATGTAGTGTTTTTCTATATTAATTGTAATGTTTATTTGATTAAATAAATACTTAATTTTATTAAATTAGTATAATTTTCAAAGTAATTATTATTTAATAAAAATATCATTCATAATCCTTTAATTAATAAGATATTAAATTTTATAATATATTATATATATATATATATATATCTATATATATATATATATATATATAATATATAATGAGTGAAATAGATTAATTATTGGTTATTACAATAAAAGAAAAAAAGAGAATATTCTAAAAAATATTCATTTTGGTGTAATATTTGGTGCAATGGGTTGGAGATGCAATAGTGTTTTACACCAAAAATCACATCAATTTGATGTGAAACTTGCACCAATTTGGTACAATGGGTTAGAGATGGTCTTAGACACTATTAGTCTTCACCAAGATACACCGCACAAATTAAGTACACATGTTTTACGTCAATTGAGCAACATGTATTTGAATTTTTATACTTATAACAATCAAATCAATTATTTAAATCAACATATTTTTTTAGGTGTGTTTGTTTGGTTATTTGGAATAGTATTTTCGGAATATTATTGGTAGGTAGAGTTGGATGATTTTACAAGGTAAAATTTAAAAATTAACAAAAACAAAACTCCTAAGTTTGTTAATTTAACTAAACACCCCAATATATAATTTTTTTTGTAAAATGACAAAAACAGCCCCACCCATCCATAGTTGCCAGATTCTGGCCACCACAGCCAAAATTTGGCGTTACGATAGACGATCGACAGGATCTGGCCAATCGTGCGCCGATCTAGCCGTTTCGGCTAGATCCACCACGGATCTGGCTAGAAAATACCAGATCGGCGCATTACAAGATAGTTCCAACTGGTAATGCACCGTTGTGAAAGATTTCGGCCACCACCGACGGTGGTTGCCGGAATTTGGCAACTATGGGTGGGTGGGGGTGTTTTTGTCAATTAACAAACCTAGGGGGTTTAAAAAAGTTTCTTAATTGAGGATATGATTTTAAAAATAGGGAAACAAATGTGCATTTATATTTGGAATAGGGACAACATAGTGGTGAAATAATGAAACAAACACAGGTGCATTTGTTTTCCAATTTTTTTCCTATCATATTCTTATCCTATCTAAAATACACATTTGTTTCATATTCTGAAAATACTATTATATTTTATTCAATTATTGTTAAACCCCCTAGGTTTATTAATTTAACTAAACATCCAAAAAAAGTTTAGAAATTGACAAAAACACCTCCACCAACCCACACTTGCTAGATTTCGGCCACCACCGTCAGAAAATGGCCAGAATCTGGTATAATGACGCACTACCGGCTGGATCTGGCCGGTAGTGCACCAATCTAGTCTTTTTCTGACCAGATTTATGGCCAAATATCTGGCCGTTGACAACCAGATCTTTGACCGTAACTAGTATCACTACAACATTATAGACATATAGCTACGAAAATTAGCTGCAGAAAGGAAAACTGTAGCAAATACATATTTACAGCTACAAAAGTCAATATTTATAGCTAATTGAAATAATTTTAGTGATAAGATTTCCTCCCTCGAAGCTAATATTCATCTCTTGCTTTAACTTATTAAAATCGTGGCAATAACTAGTCATCTAGCTACAATATATTAGTTATGGTTCAATAATGTAGCTAATTAATGTATTTAGCTATAAACATTTAATTTACATGGCATATAGTATCATTATCGGTTACGAGTTTAACTATATAGCTATTATTTATGAATTAGCTATAAAATATTGAAATTTATAGCTAATTAAGGTATTTAGCTATACAAATTTTATTTTCATGGTAGTAACAATATTATAGTATCATTATTAGCTACTAGTTTAAATATATAGCTAATATATGTGTGTATTAGCTATAAATTATTTGAATTTGTAGCGAAATAAAGAATGTGAAAAGTAATCTGCTATAATTCTTATAGTATGCTGCTATAGATATTCTAATTTATCCCATGAGTACTTATATTTTTATTACTTGTGAATTAATCACATAGCTAAGGTTAATAATAAATTATAACCTTCAACCAATAGCTAGCTTAAAAGAACTTTTTCCAACTTATCAAGTTTAGTTTCAATACAATTTAAATATGCCGAGCAAAATATTAGACTCTCTTCCATAATGTACCCTTCTGCAGTAGAACCTTCTGGTTGACTTTTATTACGAACATAACGCTTCAATTTTCCTAAGAACCTATACAAACGTTTCTTCAACTAATTAATAACTTATTATAACCACACATTAATAAAATTTAAAAAAAAAATGTAGATATATGAATTAATGAAAACAAAATATTGCTATCCCTTTGGCTATCCATTTGAGTGTCTAATGCTCAGCTTGTTCTATATACTCATCTGCTACACGTTCCACATCAGTAATCAATAAGTTGGAGATCAATTTGCAAGTTCGTTCTATGAACAAAAAATAAAGAATTCATTACGGAGCTTAGCAATGGTAAGATTTAAGTGGCTCTCATCTCCTTATGATTTAATAAATTGTTTAATAAATCATTCTCAATGTATCAATTGCAATTGATTTAAACCACTCGGAATTTAATTCACAATATATTATCGTATTGTTTAAAATAAGAATATAAATTTGCTTATAAAAATTGAATTTAGTGAATCACATGAGACTATGGTTGGCTTGTGTAACAACCCCACTATGTAAAGATTATTTATCTTATTCATCATTTATCATTCAAATTATTTATCTTAAATATGTAGAATTTAATTTTCTTCATCATAATTTATGTAATTTATCTTTTAAATGTGAATAATTTGATAAATAATTTATATACATTACTAATTATAAGATTAATTTAATAAGATAAATTGTTTAACCTTAGTTATGGTTAACCTTATTATTATTTAATTAGGTTAAGTCTATTGTTGTTGTTTCAATTAAAAATTATATTTACACTTCAAATAAGATAAAGATTATATTTTTTCCCTCCTTAATTTTCATATTGCGCCTTTTATTTTTATTTTTTTGGTAAGGTTTTTTTCTTAAAGTGTTTAATATAAAACAAGGAGCAATGACTAAAACCTTTGGAAGAATTCCCAGGCAAGATTCAGTCTTCAAATGTCAGTTTTTCTATTTCCTTTCAATTAGGTTTTAATCCTTTGATCTAAATTACCATAAATTAGGTTCTATTCCACCGAGCTTCTTGACACCCAAATTTGTAATTCAAATTGCAAATGCACCACTTAAAATCGAATTAAATTTCTCTTTGTTGTCATAAACCTCATAGCCATCTTTTCGTTAAACCCTACACAAGTAGCTACTTCCGCATCTTAGATTCACATTCGAATTTTCACTCATCTCCATTTAAAGACAAGAAACTCAGAAAAGAACCCAATTTCGTCGATTGTATAGGTATGCATTTCTTTCCAAATCTAAAAATTTCTTTTTTTCCCTCTCTCTTTAGTTGTTTCTTAGTTACGAATTCTTCGTGGGTTTATGTTGACTTTGCTAGATATTCGGAAATTGGAAGCTGGGTGATGAGTTGCGTTAATTTTTGGAAGTTTGCAAAGAACTTTTTATGTGTTTGATGAAATGCCTCTGAGAGAAGAGTTTTGATGGTTATGATTTAGAAGTTATTAGTTTGAATCTTTAATACATTTTTTGGGTGTTTATTTATCTTTTTAGTGTTAGAACGAACTAAAGAGAATGAAATTCCTTCGATAATTGAACCAGCAAATTATGAGATTTTGATAACTTTTAACAAGTCAAAGTTAATAATGTACCTTTATTTTTTATTTTTTTTGCTGTGGAAATATATAGTTTTGGATAGAAAAGTAGGGGGCTGTAGAACTGGTTGAATGATATATTTACTGAAGGAGTATTGAATTTCTTTGTGCTAGAACAAATTAGAGAGAGTTATTTTATTTTTCTATGATTGTTGTGTTTTCAAGCAGTTTCTGATTCTTTGGTTATAATTCTTGCTCTCGATGATTTGAGTAATTTTGTGATGAACAATTTGGTTCTTGAATTATATTAAAAGAATACGAGATTTTGTGTGATTACTATTTTTCAAGAACATTGTATCCTATTGATTATAGAAAAATCTTTGAATTTCATGTAGAAGTGGGTTTTGCATAGGAGGGTTGCCCATATTAATTAGCTCTTTCTTTGGTTTAAGGGAAAATTGAGAGAAAATAAAAGTAAACGAATGGTGAAGTTTTATGTCTTCTGCATTTTTTTTTTTTTTTTTTTGTATAGAGAATAGGTTTTTATAGTGGATGAAATATGTTGCATGATTTAGTGAGTTGAATAATAAAAAGAGCTATGGCTCCGTTTGGTTCACAATTTTGTGTTTTTGGGAAAAGTTTTATGAAAAAAGTTAAAAAAAAAGTTGAATTGGGCGGGTATTACGATGTAGGATTTACAAATTGCTAAAATACCTCCTATGTTTGTTTTTTTACAAAACACCCCTTATAATAAAACATTAAAAGTTAACAAAAACACCCCAAATCCACCCTCAAATACGGACAGTCGACCACCACCGACGGAGGGTGGCCGGAGTCACCGTAACAAAAACATTAAAAATATTTAGGGGTATTTAATTGAAAAAAAAAATTTAGAAGGTTTAAAAAATATTGAATAAAGTTGAATAATATTGTGAGTTTTTGGGTATTTTACTGTTTAACTTTTTTGGGAATACTAAAAGTAGTATTCCCAAAATCTAACCAAACGAAGCCTATGTGTTTTTTGGTAGAAACTTTAGGTGAAATCATTACTGATAGACTAAATGTTCAAGAGTATCCGCTATATAATTTTGTAAGATAATTGCTTTAGAGTTCTTCAGCGAAAGACTTCTTATGTATATGTTGTTCTTTTATTCTCTTTCTTATTTGCAGTTCTTTAAATGTAGTTGGTAGACAAAGATCCAAGCAGGGCAGTTTCAATGTTCTAGGCTGCTATAAATGATGGGGACCAAGTTAATAGTGCTCTGAAAGACATGGCAGTTGTGATGAAACAGTTTGATCAGATAAGGCAATTGAGGCGATCAAATCTTTTTGTCATCTCTGCCCTTATGATTCTCAGGAATCTCTTGACAATGTTCTTATCAAACTTTACAAAGTAAACTATCATTCTTTTACCCTAATTTCTTTACATTTTACTAGCGCTTTTCTTTCATTTTCTGATTTAAGTAGTTGCTGCTGGAAGTATAAGACTACTAGTGGAGGTTGGGTAAATCTGACTGCTTTTGATTTGAGGCATATGTGTGTCATGTTTGATAAGATTTTTTTCCTTCCTTAATCTTCCATTTACATCAATTATTATCTGTAATTTATCGGAAAAGTATAATTCAGATTTAGGAGGGGGTTAAGGGATCTTCATAACACTTACCACTTTTTATCTGCTCCAAAGAGGATCTCGGTGAGACAAAAAAGTTAATTGATTTGTTTTGTAACTTTTTACATCTAACCAAGATTTTTTGAATCCATAAGCAAGTATTTATCATTCAATATGAGATTAGAATGAAAGTAGATGAAGAACTACTTAATGGTTTCTTAAAGCATATGTGAGTAATATTTTGATGTCTTCACTACACTTCAAAGGATCCATGCTTTATATGAAGAAACTGAACTAGGCTTAAAGTAATGTAGTATCTCACTACAAGTTTGGATTTTAGGAAATTGTAAAGGCAAGGCATTAGTTTCTTTTTCCTAACTGTGAAAGAGCAATGTGACTATTTAATGAGTATTGAAAATTTAATTGGAATAGTGGATAGATTAAGTTTGCAAATGCACACGAAGCTTTATGGGGAATTGTGGAACTAAGAAGCATGAATTTACTTCTTGTGACATGCAGCTGAATCAAGCAGTGTCAATGAGGCTATGATAAATCTCACTATTCTTATTTTAACCTCTTTGCAACTACTTCTGAAAAAAAAAAAAAAAATCATGTTAATATTCAATATTTATTTATTTGTTTGTTTTGGCAGAGGTCTGGAAAATTGCAGAAGTGTAGAAATGCTACGGTGCAAATTGAAAAAGATAGGAGAAGGTATAGCTTTTGGATATGATGAAGGGAGTTTAAATGCGTGTCATCTGGACCAAGAGCAACTTCACAGTTTTCTCCACTTTCGTGTTCGACAATAATTGGAGGAAACATATGATCTTGAAAACCAAAGTGGAAGGTCTGGTTTTGCTGTTACGATAAGGAACATTGGGCTAGTTTGATGATATAAAACAAGTTCATGATGATATGTATCTTTGCTGGTATGAAACAAGTACAAACAACTAGAGGAAGCAAATGAGAATTAGAAGAAGTAAAAAGGCAAATGGAGGAGATGAATAGACGATGGGAAGAGAATTTCATGATGACGCTTACAACTCAAGGTCAAGAATCTTCAACAAAGAACCAAATCCCTTATGATGAAATTGTAAGTTATTTGAAAATTTTATATATACTATGAAAACCAATTTTCTTTACATTAATAAAAGTGATAACAATGATTACATTAGTCTATATGATTAATATTATTATTTTTTTTTTTCAACTTTGATTTGCAGGTTTGTGTAAATTCTTAAATGGGCAAGAAAGGTGTTTATGACATTGAAACATTCATATTTTGTTAAAAAAAAAAAAAAATTAGTTGATGACATTTTAAATTACTAGGATGAAGGATTTTATGAATAGACAATTATTTGGTTGAAAATGACTTTATTAATGTTTATTTTTTATATTATATATTTTTTTAAGACGTCATATTACTATTTAATATAAAAATTACTATAAATTTGTAATTATTATTAAATTTGTTAATTATAGTAATATTTGTTACAATTAATTTTAATCGAAGCAATAAATTATATATTCTTGATATAAATTATTTGTCCATTCAAATAATTATAATATTTAGTTACAAATTAAAGTATTCATAGCAAGCAATTTCAATATTTAGCTATTAACATATTATGTTCATATCATATCTTTTCATATATAAATATGATTTTTATATGTTCAAGCAAATAATTTAATATTTAGCTACCAATTTTTTATACGTGTCGAATAATTTTTTTATTTAGCTCGAATTCAATGGTTACGTACAGTGGCGGATTTACTTATGACGAGGGGACCACGCCCCCACTCAAACTTTAAAAACCTTACAGATTGTATAGATATTTATATTTAGTTGTATTTTCCCCCTATAAGACTTTGACATTTTGCCCCCACAATTTTTTTGTTTATTTTTTGCCCCCATCGAGTGAAATTCCTGGTCCGCCACTGGTTACGTAGCTAAAATGTCTATATATTTGCCACAAGTATTATTGTTGTAACAGGAATTTTCAAGCTTTTAGTTATAAATTTATATTTATGTAGCTAAATGCAAACATAGCTATACAATCTATTCGTCATGGCTATAAGGCAAAGCTTTTGCTACAAATTTTTATTCTTATGACAAAAACAATTAAGTTTTTAGTTACTATTAATCTATCTATAGCAAAATATATAACTGTTAGCTATGTAAGTAAAATTCATACTTTTAACTACAATGAATGTCATAGCTAGAAATGCGTAATGTTCGACGTATTTCAACGATGACTATATCTTTGGCCGTCATTGACAATCAAACGTGGGTCAGATCCACATAGATCTGACTGGAAATTGTCATATTGGCGCACGATCGTCATGTCCAATTGGTCATGCGCCGATACGGCAACTCCAGCCATCCTTTAACGGTGATGGTCGATTGCCCATATTTAATGGGTAGGTAAGGGTGTTTTTATTAATTTTAATATTTTATTATAGGGTTGTTTAGTAAATTAACAAACTTAAGGAGTGTTTTTTTTTTAACTTTTAAATCATACCTTGTAATAACCATCCATTTTATTTTTTTTCAATATTATTATAAAAAATATCAACTAAACTAATGAACCAAATGCCTTGTGCAGCCATGCATACAGTCAAAAGATTTAGTTTATTTATTAATTTTTTTTTTGAAAAATCTTTAAATGGACGATAATTTCCCATATTATTTTTAATCTTAGCCATTGGATTATAGGTTAAGCATCACTCAACGGGCTTTCATAGTACCAAACTTTCTCTCCCCATCCACATCTTTCGTCATTAAATAATCCGTCAAATCTTGAACATCTTCAAGGCACTTTTGCCTTCTGCAATGACTGGAATACAGTAATCAAGAAAATTAAAGGGTTTAACTACTAATACATCTTCTAAAAGTTTTTTAATTACTAATTAATAAGTCTATTTTACACCAGCTGTTTACAACTAAGAGAAAAAAAATATTTTCCCTTACAAGTTCCAACCAATTCCCACGTCCTGAAAACTAATATTTCTAAGTTAAACAACCGATAATAGTTTGAATTCTATTTGGTTGTTGAGAAAATTTTGAAGGTGCCAGTTTTCTGCTGTTTTCGCAAAGGTAATCAATTAAACTTAGCTTCTTTGGTAGTTATAATTTATGAAGCAAATATTTTAACTCAATTTATTGTTGAACTGATATGCTTATTTATCATGAATTTTGACAATTATATATTTCATAACAAAATCATTGTAGTTTTGAACAAGATATTTTAGTTTACCATGAATTTTAGAAACTTTTCATATCAAATGCAGTGAGTAACAAGAAAAAAGGTGAGATAGGAGATATGGCAGAGTTTACAGTGAACTTTGCTATAGAAACCTTGGGTTCATTGCTTGTCCAAGAAACCAAGTTGTTGAGAAGTGTAAAGAAAGAAGTTGAAAGCATCAAAAGAGAATTAGAGATCATCAGATCTTTTCTCAGGGATGCAGATACAAGGGCAATAGCTGAAGAAGAAGGAGAAAGCAATGGAGGTGTCGTAAGTACTTGGGCAAAACAAGTAAGGGAAGAAGCTTATCACATTGAAGACGTCATAGATGAGTACATATTTAATGAAGCGAAGCACCATGAACATGATGGCAAAGGTCTCACTGTTTTTCTTCATAAAATGTGTTGCTTCATGAATGAAATTAAGGTGCGTCATGGAATTTCATCTGAGATTAAAGATATCAAATCATCACTTGTTGATATACAGAGAAGAGCAGAACACTATAACTTGAGGCACATAGATCAAGGAGATGTTGTTCCACACGACTCTCAAGTTGGTTCCTTTTTCATCCAAGACGCTGAAGTTGTGGGCATTGAATCTACTATAGACCAATTGATTGGTTTGGCGGTAAGTGGAACATCCAACCGTTCAGTGGTTGGACTTGTGGGCAAAGGAGGTCTTGGTAAGACAACTCTTGCCGGGAAAATTTATAAGAATGATACAGTGAAGAAGCATTTCGATTGCCAAGCTTGGATCACGGTTGGAAAAGAATGCACCAAAATGGATATACTAAGGAAAACTATACAAGAATTTGATCGTGTGACAGGGTTTACTCATGGAGAGATGGATAAAATGGAAGAGAATGATATGCTCACCGCACTGGATAGACAATTAAAGGACAAGTGTTACATAGTTGTGTTCGATGACGTGTGGAAAACTGATTTTTGGGGATATATAGAGTATGCTTTAATTGAGAACAACAAAGGCAGTAGGATTATTCTCACAACCAGAAACAGGGGCATTGTTGATTTGATTCCTTTTGTTAATGTCCATAGGCTACAACCCTTGCCTTCAGATAAGGCATTTGAACTTTTTTGTAGAAAGGCTTTTGGTCCTCAGGGGTGTTGTTCCCCCAATTTGGAGAAAATATCTCATGACATCCTTAAAAAATGTGGAGGTTTACCACTAGCAATTGTTGCAGTAGGTGGTCTTCTCTCAAACAAGAACAAGGTTGCTTTTGAATGGAAAAAGTTACTTGATAACTTGGGGTCACAGTTGGGAAGCAATTCCCATCTAAAAGATTGCAACAAAGTTTTATTAGAAGGTTATTATGGTCTACCTCACCATCTAAAATCTTGTTTGTTGTATTTTGGTTTCTTTCCAGAAAGCTACTCAATCAATTGTGCAAGACTGATCCGTCTATGGATTGCTGAAGGCTTTGTCCCATACTCCAAACGCCGCACATCTGAACAGTTGCTCAAGAATTCTTGATTGATCTCATTAACAGAAGCTTGGTACAAGTAGTAAAGACGAATTTCATTGGAAGACCTAGATATTGTCGAGTCCATGATCTAATGCATGAGATTATCCTTAGAAAGACCGAATATTTGGGCTTCTCTCATATTGTGAACAAAGAACACTCAAATCTCTTTGGCAAAATTCGACGTATTTCAATACAAGGAAGTGTTGATAATGTTCTCGAGAGCATCAACAACTCAAAGATACGTTCTGTTTCCGTTTTCAATGTTGATAGGATGCGTAACTCTTTCATGACAAGACTTGTTTTGGATTTTAAGCTGATAAAAGTGCTAGATTTTGAAAATGGCCCTATAGAGTATCTTCCTGAAGGAGTGGGAAACCTGTTCCATTTGCACTACTTAAGTGTGAAAAATACAAAAGTAAAAGTACTTCCCAAGTCCATCGGTAAGCTTCTCAACCTAAAGACCTTGAATTTAAAACATTCTCTTGTCACTGAGCTTCCAAGTGAGATCAATAATCTAAAAAAATTGCGTTATCTACTAGTGTACCGTTTCGACAGAAGTGGTAATTATGAATATGTAAAAATACCAAAGGGGTTTGGCCTTTTATTGGATTTGCAGAAGCTAGGTTTTGTGGAAGCTAACTTTGAAGTACTCAGAGAGCTTAGGAAGCTAAGGCATATGAGAAAGCTTGGAGTTAGGCTGAAAACTGGAAATGGAAAGGATCTTTGTGCTTGCATTGCAAATATGGAAAAACTTGAATCTCTGATTGTACAGTCGACAAGTAGAGACGGAGTTCTTGATATAGAATCTATGGCTTCTCCACCTCATTGTCTTCAACGCCTCTATTTAACAGGAAATATGAAGAAGCTGCCAGACTGGATATTTAAACTTAAATGTATAATCAGAATTAGTTTGAACTTGTCAGGGTTAACTGATGATCCCATAAGAGTCCTTCAAACCCTGCCTAATTTATTGGACCTTAGGCTATGGGACACATGCCATGATAACAATTTCATTTCAAAGAAGATTGGTTTCCACAACTGAAAATTTTGTTCCTCTTTGACTTTAAAGAAGTGGAATCCATGATTATAGACAAAGGTGCAATGCCTAACCTTGAAGATCTGCGTATAGGACCATGCCCTCGATTGAAAGAGATTCCACATGGAATTGAACATCTAAGAAACCTAAGGATTCTTGTGTTTCATCTTATGTTGAAAGAAATTTGTTATATGATAAAAGATGTGAAGTGGAAGAAAGTTACCCAACAGATACCGGAAGTCCGTATCAATTTCAAAATGGAAGGAAAACTATTTTATTACACTACTAAGTATCTCTCATCTGTCTTGCCTATGGATTTTGAGCGATTTATTGAAGAACTGGAGCGAAATAACGAGTCCTCTCATATGTGAACAACAGGTATCTTGTTTAAATTATAAGACTTAATGTGATTTTGATTTTATATCTTCTATTAACCTATAAAAGGAAAAATCTTATAATTTTTTCATGGCAATGATTTAGGGTGTGTTTTGACTTTTCACTTAATAGAAAAAATATAATTTTGTAATTTACTTATAAAATCTAAATTATTTTTTTTCATGAATACACAAGTCTAATTATCATAATAAATGTAAACTTAAATAAAAATATTAAAAGAACTCTTATAATTTATTATATTAATTTTTTTTTAAATTACCTTAATTATTTGATTAAGTTCCCGTTGCCGACTCCGGTACCAACAGTTGCGAACCTCGTCGTCGAATTTTTTTTGGCGATATTAGGTAACAATATTGCTATCAAAATAATTCAATTTTAACAACCTATCTATATCTATATTTACCTTTAGCAATATATGCAATGTCTAGTCGGGATCTAATGAAGAAAGTTCAGGTGGTTGCACTTTCTAGGTTAGATCCAAGCCAAATGTAATCATTTTTCTAATTTAAAATTATATAGATAAATAGATCGTTTAGAAATGAACTTCTAACACATATTATATGATTTTTTGTTATCCTATAAATAATTAAGGCTTGTGTTTTTTCTATTATCATTAACAGGAGATGTATCTTGGATTGTGAGAAGATAATGATTAAATTGTCCTTCACATGAATAAACAAGGTAATTCTAAGATTTTATACACTTCTTTCTTGTGAATGATGTAGTACTAGTAGCGATAACTGGCAATGTGTGATTGTTGTATTCTCTGGATAATGATAGTAGAGATGGAAGTATTAACTTGCAGTTGTTCATCAATTTCATTGTGTAATGCATAAAATACATTTGATTTGATTTGCTAATGTTGTTGTAATGGTTGTTATGGTTGTTTGTGAACAATGAAGGTAAAAATGAATAGGATCACACCGAAAACTATACTAGTTGAGAGAGACATAAACTGTTTTTTTCCTTTTTTCTTTTTTCTCATAGGAGAGAGACATCAACTACTAAAGCACATAAATCAGTTGAGTAAACTCAGATATTATTTGGTATTCGTTGGATGGTCCTTGATAATTATAAAAATCCCAAAAGACTGCATTGTGTTAAACATGTAGGATTTCCCAAAAGCACAGAGCAAAAAGCTTGCTTTCCAAAAGCACTTACTTTCCAAAAAGAAGGCAGAAAAGAGCACCACAATGATTCATAGCACTAAGTTTAGTTTAATGTAAGAAACAAATTTCAGCACACAAAAAAGAAAATCAATCTTATTAAGCACCACAATGATTCAATCTTATTAAAATCACACTAATAATTTACTCACATTGAGCAGGTTTCTTTCCCTCTTACTCAAAAATGTAGAGACAAAATGTAAGAAAATGATTCACCTGAACCAAAGCTTTACTGATTGCTTCTTAAAGGATGTGGGCTTCCATTTAGGGTTCAATGGTTGTGCGTATTGGAGATTTTAAGCTAAAAATTTGATAAAACCAATGATTTTTACTAGATTTTTATGAATGAAGATGATTAGAGTAGGGTATTTTGTTTAATGAGTAGGTTGGTGAGTTGAAAATGCTTTAGTGTAGGGTGGGTTCCTTGACATAACGAAAATTGTGTTAGAAAGAAGGCTTGGAGCTGAAATTTTGTTAAGAAGCAAATTGAAAAAGTGGCGTGAATTGGAGAAGATGGGTGAAGAGTTGGCGTGAATTGGAGAAGATGAGTGAGAGGGTGGCGTGAATTGGAGAAGATGAGTGATAAGGTAGGGGGCAGGGAATTTTGTTTGGCGGGTAGACAAATTTTTTCCCGGTTAAAGTTTGGAAAATAAAATTGTTATTTATTTTGATTTAGTAACACTTTTAAGTGTTACATATTTTAATTAATGAAATCAATATGATTCAATACACGCAAATTGCCTACTGGTCGGGACGCGCTACCCCCTGCACCCCTACCCATTGACCGAGCAACGAGACTCCCGAATGCTATAGTGTGACTCTTATTGTTGAAGTGGTGGACAACTCCAACACTTGGGAGACGAAACGACACCAAAAAGTGACGAAATCACACCAAAGATTAAGGTGAAGAGTCAAGACAGTGAAATGGTTTTTCAAGCGAGATTTCGAGTCAACCAAGCTTACGGAAGGTGGATCTAACCTTAGGGGTATGGACCAGCCCTAGGATGTCTAGAAGTTGCCAAAAAAACTAAGAAATTAAAGTCATCAAGAAGATGAATGGTCACAAATAGAGGAAGCTTAATGGTCGTTGGATCCAGGAATGTGTTACGTGATGACGGCCAGCATTGGAGAAGGAAAATGGTCATCGAAGGTGGAAGTTGGATGGTCTCCGGAAAATGGATGAGAATGGGTGGACGTTTTTGGCTTTGCATTTAACCTTCCATCTTCCTTGTATACTATTTGTAAAAACATTTGTTTGGTCCCTACATGAATGAGATGTACACAAGTAAACCCAAATAGTAAATTTGACCCCTAAACAATAAAAATGAGACAAACAATCTCATTCATATTGGCGGAATAATATTTTGTTTTCGGTAAATAATTTTGTTTATGGTAACATTATAAAATGTTACTGTATTTGATTATTTGGTACATTATAAAAAAGTTACTATATTATTAGGTTTATTGTAACACTTTAAAAATGCTACTGTAGATATATTTTCCATAACATTTAAGAAGAAAAGTTACCATTGATAAAAAAATGTGTTACAAAAAGTTAAAGTGTTACATATAAAAATTGTTATCGTAACATTAAAATCAAGTGTACTATAGATAGTTACGATAACACTTTAGGAAAAGTGCTACTATCAGTGTTACCGTAGGCCATTTTTGTATAGTGGCACCCTGTGCAAGCCATGCATAAGTCAAAAGATTAGTTTATTTATTAATTTATTTTTTTGAAAAATCTTTGAAAATGGACGATAATTTCCCATATTATTTTAATCTAGCCATTGGATTATAGGTTAAGCATCAAGCTCAACTGGGCTTTCAAAGTGCCTTGACAGTGCAAAAGTGAACATCTTCAAGGCACTTTTGCCTTCTGCAATGATGGAATCAGGTAATCAAGACAAATTAAAAGGGTTTAACTATAATACATCTTCTAAAAGTTTTTTAATTACTAATTAATAAGTCATTTTACACCAGTGTTTACAACTAAGAGAAAAAAATACTTTTCCTTACAAGTTCAACCAATTCAGTCCTGAAAACTATATTTCTAAGTTAAACAACGATAATAGTTTGAATTCTTTGGGTGCTGAGAAAATTTTGAAGGTGCCAGTTTTCTGCTGTTTTCGCAAAGGTAATCAATTAAACTTAGCTCTTTTGGTAGTTATAATTATGAAGCAATATTTAACTCAATTTATTGTTGAACTGATATGCTTATTTATCATGAATTTTGACAATTATATATTTCATAACAAAATCATTGTAGTTTTGAACAAGATATTTTAGTTTACCATGATTTTAGAAACTTTTCTATCAAATGCAGTGAGTAACAAGAAAAAAAGTGAGATAGAGAATGGCAGAGTTTACAGTGAACTGCTATAGAAACCTTGGGTTCTTGCTTGTCCAAGAAACCAAGTTGTTGAGAAGTGTAAGAAAGAAGAGTTGAACATCAAAAGAGATTAGAGATCATCAGATCTTTTCTCCGGGATGCAGATACAAGGGCAATAGCGAAGAAGAAGGAGAAAGCAATGGAGGTGTCGTAAGTACTTGGGAAAACAAGTAAGGGAAGAAGCTTATCACATTGAAGACGTCATGATGAGTACTATAATGAAGCGAAGCACCATGAACATGATGGCAAAGTCTCACTGTTTTTTCATAAAATGTTTTGCTTCATGAATGAAATTAAGGTGCGTCATGGAATTTCATCTGAGATTAAAGATATCAAATCATCACTTGTTGATATACAGAGAAGAGCAACACTTAACTTGAGGCACATAGATCAAGGAGATGTTGTTCCACACGACTCTCAGTTGGTTCCTTTTTCATCCAAGACGCGTGAAGTTGTGGGCATTGAATCTACTATAGACCAATTGATTGGTTTTTGGGTAAGTGGAACATCAACCGTTCAGTGGTTGGACTTGTGGGCAAGGAGGTCTTGGTAAGACAACTCTTGCCGGGAAAATTTAAAGAATGATACAGTGAAGAAGCATTTCGATTGCCAAGCTTGGATCACGGTTGGAAAAGAATGCACCAAAATGGATATACTAAGGAAAACTATACAAGAATTTGATCGTGTGACAGGGTTTCTATGGAGAGATGGATAAAATGGAAGAGAATGATTGCTCCCGCACTGATAGACAATTAAAGGACAAGTGTACAGGTTGTGTTCGAGACGTGTGGAAAACTGATTTTTGGGGATATATAGAGTATGCTTTAATTGAGAACAACAAAGGAGTAGGATTATTTCACAACCGAAAAAGGGGCATTGTTATGATTCCTTTTGTTAATGTCCATAGGCTACAACCCTTGCCTTCAGATAAGGCATTTGAACTTTTGTAGAAAGGCTTTTGGTCCTCAGGGGTGTTGTTCCCCCAATTTGGAGAAACTTCTCATGACATCCTAAAAAATGTGGTGGTTTACCACTAGCAATTGTTGCAGTAGGTGGTCTTCTCTCAAACAAGACAAGGTTGCTTTTGAATGGAAAAAGTTACTTGATAACTTGGGGTCACAGTTGGGAAGCAATCCCATCTAAAAGATTGCAACAAAGTTTTATTAACAATACATGAATAATTATAGGTAAACATGGCAAAATATTATGAAAACAACAAAACATAAGTTGAATGTAACCAACATAATATGCAAATTCCATTGAACAATAAAATAATGCTTACTCTTCGAATACTTAATGGTTGTAGCTTATTAACTCCAATCCTTCTTGGTACCTTCAATGCTTTCCACAGGTTTAGCTGGAATTTCTTCTACCTGTCCCACAAAAGAGTGAAAATAAATGAATTTCTAATTTGGTGTATACACAAATATAAACAATCAGAGAATTTTACTCACAGTACTCAGCCGTATCTCATTGTTGCTTTGAATCGCAATCGCCTCCTCAATCTGCAAGATCTCAGATTCTATTGTATAAACTCGCTCCAAGACCTCTGGAGTGCTCACAAATAGACTCCCATATCGAATTCTGGCATAAGAAAGTCAATGTAGCACCAATTTGACTCCAAAAATTCTAAAAGAGTGACAAATTCAGCACTCAGAGCACATACGACTGCAAATTCAATGACCAGTTCAACAATGAATGTAGCTCACATTGAGAACTCTACTAGTTCAGAGAGACATAAACTGTTCTTTCCTTTTTTCTTTTTTCTCATAGGAGAGAGACATCAACTATTAAAGCACATAAATCAGTTGAGCAAACTCAAATATTTTTTGGGATTCGTTGGATGGTCCTTGATAATTATAAAAATCCCAAAAGACTGCATTGTGGCCTTGTTAATTTTGCAAACTGCAAACTGCAGTCTGCAGTTTACAAACTGCAGCTGCCAAAACCGTAGACTGCAGTTTGCAAACTGCGGACGCTGAACATTATAGTAAGATATATATCTTATTTTACAATACCTTCAATGCTTTCCATAGATTTAGCTGGAATTTCTTCTACCTGTCCCACAAAAGAGTGAAAATAAATGAATTTTTGATCTAATGTATA